ATTTACAGAATTTATATTATATAACTAAGATAATAATTTGAATGTAAATGTATCCATCACTAAGATCTTACCATTTTATCATTTTATGTTATTGAATCGCAGCAAAACCAGTATTATACAGTATTTCAATAGGAGTCATTTCTATAATAATAATTACAAGCTAAAATATTTTATTGAACAGGTTATTCATTCATTAACAAAATTAAATACTCCATTAATGTACTTTAATAGAGTATACTTTACTACAATAATGGTATTTGTCTAATATTTAGTATTCGAATTTGTTTAAATTTAGTATTTTTATTTAATAATAATAATAATAATAATAATAATAATAATAATAATAATAATAATAATAATAATAATAATAATAAAAATAATAATAATAATGATAATAATAATAATAATAAAAATAATAATAAAAATAATAATAATACATAGAAAGTACACTAACTTATACTATAATTACTATAGGCTATTATACATTATAAAAGGAAGATAATTAATTTAATAATTAAATACTTAAATTAAATTCTGTTACATATAGAGTAGGCCCACAAATATACTAATATTAAGATTACAATTATACTGTATGTATGTAGGCACCATAAGCTAGATAAAAGCAAGACCACCCAACATTGTTCACCCTGTTGCCCACCCACTTTAACAATGGTATATTCCAATTGGGTGGTTTATGTCCTGGGTGGTTTATGTCCTGGGTGGTTTATGTCTTACATTCTACTTATTCAGGATTAAGAGGGGTGGGGGAGCTGATAGATGCGATACCATTGGTGGCGGATCCGGGTGTGGCATTCTCAAGGGCATATAATCCTGATGAAAACACTACTTCGAAGAAAACGTACTTCTAAAGTAAGAACATGCCAAGTTATTTTTCTTTTTGGGTAATTTTTAGTAGTTTAGATTTAACTAAGTATCTTTTTAAATTTGAATGTTGTAAATTAGACGCACCGTCGTGTGGACGAGTGCCGCTGTACTATAAAAGCGTATGCTCCGATAATTTTAATTTGAATATTACAATTTGATAATACACAGTACCGGTAGTTTTCAGAATAAAAATAGGCCTAGGCATTATTCTATATACCATTTAATACAATAAAACAAAAATGATAAATCATATAGTTGCATTTATTCCTCCACGCTAGTATCATTTTTAATGTCAATATGCAATTTTCAGTATTTAAAAAATAAAAAAATAAAATCGAAATTCTAATCTAAAATAATAGATTTCATTCGTGGATGCATTGTCCTTGTCCTATTGTTTAAAGACCCACACGAAGCCGGGCTACAGTATTCAATTAACCGCGGGCTTTCAACATCCAATAGGAAGCTTTAAGCCGATAAGCGACTGCCGTGAAGCCCTACTTTGCATATCTAACTCTATAAGTACTGTGTTCCACTTCAGTTCATCAATCATCTATTCGAATTCGTATAGACTAAACCGAAAGTATGCCTCCAAAGACTTCAGGAAAAGCTGCCAAAAAAGCCGGTAAGGCTAAAGCCGTCAGAGCTGGCGACAAGAAAAGGAGACGTAAGCGAAAGGAAAGCTACAGCATCTACATCTACAAGGTGTTGAAGCAAGTTCACCCAGACACTGGTATCTCCAGCAGAGCCATGGGAATCATGAACAGCTTCGTCAACGATATATTCGAACGTATTGCTGGTGAAGCATCTCGTCTTGCTCAGTACAACAAAAAATCCACCATCACCAGCAGGGAAGTCCAGACCGCTGTCCGTCTCTTGCTGCCCGGTGAATTGGCCAAGCATGCCGTTTCTGAAGGTACCAAGGCTGTCACAAAATACACCAGTTCCAAGTAAACATCTTGCCCAGTTTCAAACCAAACGGCTCTTTTCAGAGCCACACAAAATTTCAAAAGAGATTTGTGAATTTCAGTGTCTGTCGTTTGCACTTTTTTCCCCTATAATGATATTAGTAAGCGGTTAGTGAAATATACAAATAATTCGAAAATGTAGATACACAAATAATCCGAAGTAGGGAACGGTTAAATTAAAATTTAACCATTTCCTGATTCGAAGCAACACAACATTTATTCCACCAGGAAAATTATCTGCTGGCTATATTTTTATTGAAAATAACTCCGTAAATAGCTTGGCCTGAGTGTCAGGTTCTATATATCAATCACAGACAATGCAATATTTTAATTGTGGGGGACTATTATACAAACGTACTCTTATTAATTAGGTAGGCCTAGTTATAATAATTTAAAAAAAAATTAACCTGTACACGTCGTGTGCAAATAAGTCTATTGTTACCTGCGTTTACTTGCTACCATTTTTTCAAGTGTTGGGTAAAATTTCATTCTTTCAAATGAAGGTCGTATAACCTGTTTCAAATATGGTCCTGTTTTGTGATATACAAAAATACATTATCCAACATTAAAATTTAATAGTAAAAGCATGGTATTAAAATAGGTCCATGGTGAAAGTAATACTGTAGTAAAATTGTTTTAAGAAATGTATAAACAGTTTAGCCCTAAAATTGATAATAAAACATATGCAAGTGTAAGAGTTTAAAATTAAGAGTACAGTATTTTTAAAAGTGGTAACTTAATTCAGATTGTATTAATTATATATTCTATTTTTATAGTTTAACTTGAAATTAAAATAATCAGTTGATTCTGTTAATATCTATGATAAGGCATTCCATAACGTTTTCACCAGCATACAGTGAAGTCTTAGATTAAACTTACTTTTGGAGCTGTACAGTGTTTAGTGAATCTGCATTTCTTGTGTTATACACATGTCGATTAAACTGTTTCTATTTCATTACATAGGAGGTGCAGTGACGTTCAAAGAGTTAAACGTGCAATACTGTCTTATAAATAACTATGCCTGCTGCTCTTTTTGCAATCTGTGAATTACTTTATTTTTATTAATTGTATTTTCCCAGACTGAAATGCCGTAATAATATAATTCATACATGGCTGTTGTAAGCATAATTTAATTGTATTTCCGTTTAAGTGTATGCAAGTTTTGAGAGTAAAATTTGATTTAGAACTGTATCAAAATATTCGCGCCACGCAACAGCAATTCGCTCTATTCTATCGGAAGTGTTTCATACCAGGTCCGCTTTGAATGTATAAGTATCGGCTGATTTAGTAATCTAGTACAGTTCTAACTTGTAAGCTTTTTGTCGGAGTTTTGTTGGTAGTGAACATCTTGTCACAAAATGACTGAACAAGCCAAAGCTAAGAAAAAGGCTGCGCCTAAAAAGCCAGCATCTCATCCTACTTACATTGAGATGATCACTGCTGCCATAGGTGCTTTGAAAGAAAGAAATGGTTCCAGCGGATCGTTCAAATTGAACCAGGCTGCAGCCAAGGCAGATGCTGCTGCAAAGGCAAAGAAAGAAAAAGCTAAGAAGAAAGCAGTAGCAGATAAAGAAAAGAAAGCAGCAAAGAAAGCTACCAAAAAGGCTAAGAAACCAGCTGCCAAGAAGGCTAAAAAGCCAGCGAAGAAGGCTTCCAAGTCACCAAAGAAGGCAAAAAAATCGGAGAAGAAAGCGGCCAAGCCAAAGAAGGCCAAGTCTCCCAAGAAGGCCAAGTCTAAAAAGCCAAAGGCAAAGAAGGCTACCAAGTCTCCAAAGAAATCTAAGAAGTAGACGGTGTATTTCTCAACCCAAACGGCTCTTTTCAGAGCCACTATTTAAACAAAAGAGAACGATAGCTTTTCTGTTCACAGAAATAAGATGAGTTTACAGTATCCTAAGTATTAATATGATTTAAGTTGTTACATTTTTCACAGATACATCTGAATTTTTAAATTTAGATATTTTTTATTTTTAACATTATAAATTACCTAGCGTCCTGATTAGTACAAACTTTTCCTTAAAAATCACACTTGTATTTCACATTTCATTTCAAAAATATCTTGTGACAAAACACTAATGTTGTTCAAATATAATTACAGTATCGATGACAAGAGGTTCAAATAACGGCTTCTTAATACATAAGTCATTTCTTAATACTGTACAGTATTTATATACAATACAGTAGATTTTTCTACACAAATCTGCAACTCCGTCCACTTCATGCTGATTATCATTTGTGACATGTATCACCCGTATTTTTTATTATACAGCTTGACTTTAAATGTGTATATGGCGAGTAGTGGGGAGGTGTTTACCTTGATTGGATTCTATTTACTCATGAAGTCGTATAGCTATAGTAGTATTAACTGTTCCCTAGTAGTAGTACTGTACTGTATGTGGATTTGCATTCACACAATCACAATTTCTGCATTATATTTTATATTCCCAAGGTTCAATCCCACTGTATGTGTACAGTATTGGAAGATTTAAATCTCAACCCACAACTCCCCAAAACAATATCCTAATAAATAGTACTTGTCTGATAAGCAATGTTTGATCCAGAGTTTTTTTGTTTTTTTTTATATATGTTTGTGCAACTTATTAACAGTTGTTTCCCCCTCGTATAAGTGATGACAAGTATACAGTTTTCATATACGTTTAGAAAACAAGAGATTACAACTGTTATTATATCGTAGTTTATAAACAGATACTTGTTTTGGCGGAAAACACCAAATAGGAATTAATCTACAGACTACACGGCGGAAAACCCCCGCCAAAAGGAAAGGAAGTTCATTAAAATATGGAACTAGTTTCAAAAGTACAAAGAACATAGGCCTAATAGAATATTTTTCAGGCGGATTTTCATTGATTTGTATTAAATGTTTGATTAAATTTTAAAAACAAAGGCAAACATTTGTTGAAAATGGCGGAATTTCCATTGCTTTCAAAACTCCTGCTAAACAATAGCCCAAGGTCAGCAGCAGTGCACAACTTGGCAGCGATACACGATAATTCATATTACGTCCGTATAGAGACTAGATCAATCTAGCGAATTCATGCTGAAGTTCATTTCGAATCGAACTTCGAGAATTAACAGTACATCAAGATGTCTGGACGTGGTAAAGGAGGAAAAGGACTAGGAAAAGGAGGCGCTAAGCGTCATCGTAAGGTGTTGCGTGATAATATCCAAGGTATCACCAAACCGGCTATCCGTCGTCTTGCGCGTCGTGGTGGTGTCAAGCGTATATCTGGTCTTATCTACGAAGAGACCCGTGGTGTATTGAAAGTATTCCTTGAGAATGTCATCCGTGATGCTGTCACATACACCGAGCATGCCAAGAGAAAGACCGTCACCGCCATGGATGTCGTCTACGCCTTAAAGAGACAAGGCCGAACCCTGTACGGATTCGGTGGATAAGCTACTCATCTTCCCCAAACCAAACGGCTCTTTTCAGAGCCACGATTTGAACAAAAGAGAATGATTGCTTTCCGTTTTTATGTACACATTCATATCATTACACATCATTTTTAGGTAAAAAAAAAATCAGTTCATCAGAGACGGTGTATGATTTTAAAAGAAACATGCTCGTTTTTCGATTTTAGTAAAATAGTAAAACTGCCCTAACATACGAATAAAAGCAACATACAAATGTGTATTTAATTTGAATTTTTAAATTCAATCTCATAATTTGCAAATGCAGGCCTGTACCAGGGGGCGGTGGTTCCAACGAACCCCCTTTTTAAAGAAGTGCCCTTTTGAATGTGTATGTACAAATTTCTAGAGTGACATATCTGGTCATCTAAAATTCGAGGTCATGAAAATTAGTACCGGTACTTTCTAATGTCTGTCATAGCGATAGGTTTAATTCTGAATAAATGAATAAGGCGTCTGGTCTATAACAAAAATTGTAAATTTATCATTAAATAATATTGAAGATAAAAACGAGTCCAATAGTATAATGCTCCTGTTTTTTTTTTTGTCTGAAAACCCACAAATCCTGGCTACAGCCTTGAAATAATTTGTGAAATATTAAAACAAATATCTGTTTTCAAATAATAACTTGTATAGTAGGCCTATTACTCGTACTGTACTTTACTGTAAATTCAATATATTATCTTAAGGGTAGACAAATATCTGTAAGTAGACTAAGGCATACTGTACTTATAAAAATAGGCTACTGTTTGTGTCCTAATCCTACATGCAAATGTTTTCCGTTTATTAAATTCAATTCATTTTTTAAAACAATTTCAATAAATACCGATAATTTCATGATACCCAATTTTGAATACCTGTATAATAGTGTCAGAATTGTTTTGTACTTTAATTTGTGAAATATTTTAAGTAAGAATACTACAGTACCTATTAAAATGCAAATGTTATTTGTTCAAATTCAATGAACACATAATTCCGTGATACCAATAATATGATACTTCAGTCTACAACCGAAATTCTAAGTACTAATATACTTCAAATACTACTTGGAAATATTTTAAAAATATATTAGATGTAAAATATCTAGATGTAGAAACTCATTTGTACACGACTATTTTTGTATTTAATAGCACTTAATAGTACAGAGTATAGGCCTATACCTGTATTTTATATGAAACCTGTCATATTTTTTTTAAGTCTCAATTTGCAATATGTGGTTATACAATATATCCCAATAATTAGTCTTTCTTTTTAAATGTTTTAATAAATGTATAGGCCTATATACATATATAT